TATAAATATATTGTAAGAAAAACCGACTCGTTGAATATTTAAGAAACTCAGTGCATTGCTTTATTGATTTTTATTCATATACAATAATAGTTCTAAGATTTTTCATGACTTTTGATTCAACAAAATTAATAAAATAATTATTGTCAATTAAGTCAATAATTGATGAATAATTGACTTACTCTGCGCGTGTTAAACTGTTATTGATCCAGATTTGATTATATAATGAGAAAGCTCCAGGTGTTAACCAGAGACAGTCTCAGTTCTTGAATTATTCAGAATTGATTCAAGATTTTTCAAAATTGAAACACGCAGACAGTTTATGAAGAACATTCAATACATCATTTCTAGATTCTAACAAGAAAACTAGTCTCACTAACTTTTCGTCATTTTCATTTTAAATTTACTTAACACTCGCCTCAAACTCGAATTTTCTAACTCCTCTGTAGCAGGCGCGAGCACAGGATTTTAGCCAGGGGGGGGGGGCAAGTTTTTGCAAGTGCAAAAAATTTGTTTGCCCCTGGCCGATTTTTGCCCCCCTAGTAAATGACTATATATTATAATGTATCCCTCTGTACCGTTGTATATTACTCTCTAAAGTCCTGAGTAGTCTCCTGAGACTACTCCCCTTTTTAGTCCTGATTCAAGGACTATATATTATAATGTATCCCTCTGTATAGTTCTTTATTACTTTCTGAAGTCCTAAGAAGTAGCCTAAGACTGTAGTAAAGCCCTACTCTATAAAAAGTTCTGGAAACATATCTATCCAGGTTCAACCCGTCCGCTATCACAATTCACAGTCAACCAGGACACAACCCACCTGGCTCTAAGTGCCACACAGGGACACTAGCGTAGCTATCCAATAAGCTATTAATCCAGTGCTCTAAATGCCATACAAGGACACAAGCCTAGCTATCAACAAGCTATATTTATCGATCCCAAATGATAGGGACGATCCAACCTGGTTATATCAACACAGTGATTTAGTGCTCTAAATGCCACACAAGCCTTGCTATCAAAAAGCTATATATATCGATCCCAAATTATGGGGACAATCCGCTCTAAATGCCACACAGGGACACAAGCCTAGCTATAAACAAGCTATATATATCGATACCAAATGATGGGGACAAATCACCTGTTTCACGAAGCAGGATTTCAGGATTACTCTCTCCAAGTAATCAGTACGGAGTTACTCTAGAAACTGAGGAGTATTTCTTTAGTTCAGATTAGAATTGGGTATTAACATTGTAATTACAATTTATTGGCTGATATATATATAACGTAATTAAACAATCACAATATGGGTATGACGGAGTTATATATATGCGTACATGGAATGGGTTAATCGCAATACAGGATTTGCTTAATTACTATTTGAACAATGTACGACGTAATTTTAAAATGGGCCTCAATATTTGCTACATGACTACTCCCCTTTGTAGTCCATTGTAGTCCCGACTCAAGGACTGTATATTGTAATATATCCCTCTGTGTTATTCTCTGAAGTCCTGAGACTACTTCCCTTTGTAGTACACGGACTATATATTAGAAAAACGGACTATATATTATTATACTAAGGTTTAAAATAAGTGGCATTTTCAAAGGGGAAAACACCCCTTTGAAGATAAGGTCAAGCTAGTTTTTTAACTACCACACCTAATTTTAACCTTTGCTCATAAATTCTAGCGGGGGGGGGGAAGAGGAACTGCCCCCCCCTGTGTACGCGCCTGCTCTGTAACCTGATGATGTAAATGTATTTTTGATATTTCAAAGATGTATTTGTAGTTTAAAATATCAGCTTTACACCCGGGAAATAATTATTTGCAACTACTTTACAGGAAAGTTAAGGGTATTTTACTATGCCAAGGGTTCGCAAGACCACTATTGCCCACACAACATCCAAAGATCAGATAATAAAGTAATTCAAAAGTATTTTAACGTCCCTCTGTTGTGGGAATCAAAGGCTGTTCAAATTTTGGTTAAAATGCGGTAAAAGGATTAGAAAGTAGTATAAGAAGAATCAGTTTCTTTTTTTAGGCTTTATTCATAACTTTTATTTTTCAATTAATAGACTTTTTTGGCAGGCGAGCCGAGTTTACAGAACCGATGGAGGTCGAAGAATCTGAGAGAAAATTACTGGAAGAAATTGTTCAGATGATTAAAAAATAATGTAATCTGCAAGACGAAGTTGCTATTTTATTGTTTTAATTTACATAATATTAGTTTTGTCAATAATATTTACACATGGTCAGTATGAATTTAGTGCACTGTACATGATTGATAAACATTTAAATTAATAAATCACAAAGCTAATTAAATATAACTAATTAATTAAGCTAATTAAATATAAGATTAAACATTACTTTCATAAGTAATCAAATAAATTACTTGGGATGGATTAACTGGTAATTAGTTATTAGATCAATGCTTAAAAATGCCTAAAAGTATTTTTTGAATAAAACAAGCGAGCGAGCATATTACCCCCTACATATAGGGGTCAAAGGTTAGATATTCTAGATATGCGCTCCAATGTACTAGAAATGTCGTCTTCATAGCAATGGACACTAAAAATCCTCATGTGACGTAACAACCGTTAGAGTAGACGGAAGACGTTGCTAGTGAGGGCTAGTCAGCTGTAAAATTATAATTACTTCATCTATAATTCAGAACTATCGTAAATTTAAGAAAATAGGGTTTACTCATTTAATTGTCTATTATTAAAGGGACTGTAAGCGTAATTTTAAATGACTCTCCATGCAAATATGGCAATTCCCAATTTACAACGGTACCCTAAAAAGGTTTGTCTGATCAAGTATTAATTAGTTATCAATGTTTATAATTATTTTTAATTGTGATTTCTCTACAAAAGTAACTTGCGCATTTCTTCTACAGAAAAACATAGAGAAATTATCAAATGAAATACTTTTAAACCTTGAAAAACAACAATATCGTCCCATTATTAATCAGATATAAAGGTTCTAAGGGTATCATTGTACATCAGGCATTGCCATCTTTGCATGGAACGTCACTTGAAATTACGCTAACAGTTCATTTAATGTCCTCGTTAAACTTTTAAAAAAGGATTTGTTCTGTTCCTCCAAGAATTTGGTGTATTAGATTCAATTGTATGGAGGTGAACACTCATTTTAGTATAAAATATTTACAGAATTATCTTCTAAAGAGAGGGGGGGGGGGAGCCAACACATCTATTCAGTTAAAATCTCGGTTTTTAATCTAAAGCTAGGAATTTGATTTCTTTACAAACATTATTTGTGGCGTTTAGTTGAATTCTTATAATATTGAGAATCAGAAAAAAAAATATTCCTAGAGCATCATAATAAAACAATGATGTAAATATCCTCGTATTTTCACCTCTAAAAAATAGATTTTTGTTATACAACTAAGTTTTTGTTGCGTAAGCGACCAGTTCTCTTTTAAAGGGTTAGATATAATAATGTCAACAACACGTTTAGAAATTCGTAAGACTTAAAGATTTTAGATGTTAGCTTATCTTTAAAGTTTGGATAGTGTAAGTTTAAAGCCTTTGAGATTCCGGTTTTATGAATAAATTTAAAGTTCCTTTAGAAAATTGTCAAAATTGTTTTAAAGAAGAGAATTATGAAAAGACTAGAAAATTTTCATATTTCTTTAACAAACAAATTTCATTTTGATTTGTATTGACCGGAATTGAAACTCAACCAGAAATATACGTCTTCATAAGATTTATAAAGTTCCCTTGTGACACGGGATAGCTTATGCACATTGTACATTGTGCCAAAGTATGTACATTGTACATATAGAAATGAATAACTTGGCATTTAGAAAAGAGGGAGAGCAAGTAAAAAATCAGATTTTGCAGCTTCTTCTTCTGGACTTCGATGTTCTGCAGCTCGTTGTTCTATACCTCAATGTTCTGCAGCTTTTTTTGTTCTTCACTTTCTTGTTCTGCAACTCCTGGTTCTGCAGCTACTTTTAAAATTCGGTGATGGTGATGGACCAAACCTCTGTAGAGCAGGAGCAGCTATTTTTTAAAGCTCCTGTTTCTGTAGCTATTTGTTTTGAAGCTCCTGGTTCTGCAGCTCCTTGGTTAGATGCTCCTGGTTCTTCAGCTCCTTGGTTAGATGCTCCTGGTTCTACAGCTCCTTGTTTTGAAGCTCCTGGTTCTTCAGCTCCTTGTTTTGAAGCTCATGGTTCTGCAGCTCCTTGTTTAGAAGATCATGGTTCTGCAGCTCCTTGTTTAGAAGCTCATGGTTCTGCAGCTCCTTGTTTAGAAGCTCCCGGTTCTGAAGCTCCTTGTTTTAAAGCTCCTTTTTTAGCAGCTTCTTTACAAATCTGTTACAATTAATGTTAGTTTAGAACTGGACCGCTCTACTGGAGTATGGAGTCTAAAATAAGAAAAGATTATAAACTGACAAAAATGTATTTGTTCCTAAATTTTTAATTGTTTAATCGTTTCAAAGGCTTAAAGTTTTTTTAAGCGTAATTTCATTAACAAAACAACATGTCAGATTCACAACGGTTCCATTTAAGGCTTTGTCTGATCAATTATAAATTGTTTGCTAAAGCTAATTGTTCTTGATGGGTGCTCTAATAAAGTGACTTGAAAGTTGCGCATTTCTTGCAATAGAAAAAATGTAAAAATTGCAGAATCAAACACTTTTAACGCCAAAGAATAAGAAACGAATTTGTCTTAAAGATTAAGGTTTTATGGGTACCGTTTTGAAACGGAGGTACACTTGAAATTACAACGACGTACTGTCCCTTTAAGGAAGTAAGTAAATGTTATCTTACCCTTTATTCCAGCTTGATAACTCTAGTTGACTTCCACCTGAACAAATAAATCTTTAAAAAATCTTAATCTATATAATAAAACTCTTCGCTTACATATGTATACATAAGGGTGTATATATGTATAATGTATATATGTTATCTTTAGCTGGACCAAATTCGCTAACACTTTTTTAGGAAACCCAAGGGTTCTTTGGGGGTAACTAGCCAAAGTTTCCCGAGAAATTTAAGTTTTTTTTAAATCCACGGGTAACGCCGGGTACTAAAGTTATATGTTTTTACCTTGCGGGGAATAATGAGCAGTTGAAGACTCATACGTTTCAATTCTACATTATTGTTCTCATGTTTAAATGCAAACAAAATAATATTTTAAAAAACAATAAGTTTTTAAGAATTTTTTTATAGCAATTTATTAACTTCTGTTTTAAATGTCAGTTAAGCGCTTGAAAGGTATATATTTTATTGTTTTAAAGGTTAGATTTAGATTAATCTTTCAATTAATCTAAATTTAATTTTAATGTTTTTTAAAAAGGGTTTAAAATTTAACCGAGAACAAGTCCTTTGAGATGAATTTTTTGCGCTCCCGTTTTCAGGATTACTGTGAAGGTGTGCTCCCAGATGTTTGAAAGGGGAAGAAGTTCGAGTTCTCATAGAACTAAAATATACAGATATATAATCCCAGTTTATTAACTCGAGTCTTGCAGAGCTTCATTTATAATTTTCAGTTTTAATAGTGGGTATTTTGAAACTCCTGCCTAACACGGCAATTTAAACACCTTTGAAAACATTTACTTAGTTATAAAGCAAATTGACAAGGGATTTGAGTCTTTGCTACAAACTTGCAATTCGGATTTTCGGATCCCTATATTTTAGCAACCCAATGCGTCTTACATATTTCAAACTACGAATTTTGTAGCAAAGATATAAGGATTAGAAAATTTGAGATTGAGCCAAAGACTCAATTCCTTTACAGTTTTGAATTCAAAAATTTGATGTAAAACTTGCACAATCTGCTTCCTGTTGGAAAAAGATATTCAAAAACACTGAAGATTTCTAAATTGAAATCCAATTCATTCATTCAATACTCGTTAAAAGAGTAAGGACAAACACCTGATGATGCCAAAGTTTTTGGCGAAATATATTGAGAAGAAAATGATATAATTCTAGTGCTTAGAGAGTAGGGTTGGGATTTGCTTAAAAACGATCTAAAGTTTGAAATCCAACAAACTGGAAATATTACGTTGTTAATAAATGGAGTCATGGATGCCATAATCTCAAATTTGCTAATGCTTAGATTATTTGATTTAACAGAATTCTAATTTTGAAATATGTGCGGTCTTCTGCATGAGGTAGCAAAGATGTAGGGATTTAAAAATCAGAGTTTGCTGCAAAACCCTAATTCCTTTTTATATTTCTTAATACTGGATAATTTTTTTTTATTGTTTATACATTTATTTATTAATTCCTACATTTTTTTTTATTTATATATAAATATTTTACCTTGAATGTGAAGCGACGGGTAATGATGAATATTTATTTAAAAGTGTTATTTCTGAAGTTGAAGTTAAATCTTCTCTGGGTAGGGACAGGTTGTTTGGACGTTTAGTATACGTTGTTGTACTTGAAGATCTTTAACACAATGGATTAATATTTTACTTCAACTAAATGAAATGAAATTGAAAGATTAATAAATAAAATCAAAAAAGGTTTGGAAGAAGGTTTGGTCAATTGGTGATCTTTTTGTATATTTATGATGCTCCTGAGTTTGATAATTATGAATGACTTAAATCTAAAACAACCGGATCATTCTTAAGCTCAAGCTATCATTTCTGTAAAAAACCTGAGATTTGCCACAAACCTAATTTTATAGTCCTTAAATCTTTGGAACCGGATGGCATAAACACTTTATATTTTAAACTTTGCCTTTTGATCTAACAGAATTCATAGTTTGAAATATCAAAGGTCTACGACATCGGACCGGTTGCAAAACTGGAGTTTGTGGGAAAAAAAAACACATTTTCTTTATTGATATCTACAAATGTTGGACCAATAAATAAAAGACGATTTTTTGCAATTTGGCGAGTTTTGCTTCAATAAATGGCTCACATCACAGAAGCAGCAAATGAACCCGCTGAACCTAGTTCAATTTGAGAATTTATAATTCTATTTTTCAAAACTGCCATTTTTTTTCCTTTTCCAATTTTTACAAGTTCATTTATTTAAAACTTCATTTTTAGCACTAAAAATTTTTTATAATTGTTTTACAATTAGAGATCTTGCAGAAAATGTTCTTTTCAGAAAAGCTAATTACTCCATTTTCCTCAATGTGTTTGTTGTTTGTTGGCGGCCTTTCAGTGGTGAAAAAATACTCTGATGTTGCTTTGAACTTGATAATACAGCCTATAAACCATTCAAATATTATTTCGGAGAAAAAAAATCCATATTTGATTTGATCACTTTTCAATTTTTGTATAATTTTTTTAAATGTTTAACTACGGAAGCAGAAAGGCGATATATACATATTAATAATGCAGATTAGCCACATTCTTCTTATTTTTTTGTATGAGCCATATTCAAATGCTTGTTCTAAAAACTATTCTTTTAAAGAATTGTAGAGAGGTTCCAATCCCCGGATAAATGAGATGTAATCCGGGAGAGAGCTCAAAGGAATCAGTTGGAACCGAGGAGAAAGAAGTCTCAAGCTATTCTTGAAGCACTTAATCATTATTCTTAATATTAGATAGTATAAATCAAGGAAAGGTAGAGAGCTCAAAGGAATCAGTTGGAACCGAGGAGAAAGAAGTCTCAAGCTATTCTTGAAGAACTTAATCATTATTCTTAATATTAGATAGTATAAATCAAGGAAAGTTCATTGCGGTCGTGTATACTCTGCGTACATATTGAATTGAAACCAGAGATGGAATTTAAAGAATTTGAGCCACGGTTTAAATCCGCCAAAACCCGGTTTAAATTAAGCGCCGGTTTAAATCTTGAAACATTTTATACGATATGGAAACAACAATATTTAAACCGCGGCTTAAATTTAAACCGCCGTTCAAATTCTTTAAATTTGGCCACAGTTCTCTTTGGGCGGAATTTGTAAACAAGTATAGATGCATCAGTGTTCGTTTAGTATCCGAGGAGGTTAAAAACATTAAATTTTGAAAATTTTGATAATTCTCATAAAAGTTTTCTATGACCAGAATATTTCATCGATTTTTTATGTGAAAGATGGATCCCATTTCAGGCTTCGACATCCGTATTGTGTTTACATTACCGCCCAGAGACAGTACACTGCAGTACAAAAGATGTGTACACTTCTGAAATAAATTTCCTTGCCTTACAATCCTTGGTATAAATATATCTTCACAGAATCTATATCCTTTGTATCTTGTGACCATAAAGTATTTGATGACATGAATAACGATTTTCCGATAAAATTCTTTCCTGACTTTTTATCTTTAATTCAGAAACTAATCTTGTTTCCTATATAAATAACAAAACTTTAGAAACATCATGTTCTCAAATAATTCTGTGGGTTTCTCTGCCATGGGAGTGTCTGAGATTTTGCACTCAAAAAAAAACAAATAAAAGTTTAGAAATTATTTTTCAAAAATAAAATTTTATCTGACTTATTAAGATTTAACAGTTAACTCAAGTATACCCAATCCCTAATGAGTCATGTCTTACAGTTACGATCATTAGATGTGGCTAAACATAAAAATAAGAATAATGTGGGTGGCTCAGACGCAATACTAATATATAACGCGACTGGCCGTTTTCCACTCGCTAATGAGATATTAGAAATATTAAAATGATTTTCCTGTTTTGTATCTTGATGATACACTCCTGTAGGTAGAGGAAGGGAAGAAGGGGAAACTGAAACAAATTCATCTTAATATTATTTACATTCTAATCCCGGGCAATCAAGGAGTATAGAGTACTCCCTTAATCAAGGAGTATGGAGTACTGCTTTAATGAAGGAGTATGGAGTACTCCTTTAATTAAGGAGTATGGAGTACTCCTTTAATCAAGGAGTATGGAGTACTCCTTCAATCAAGGAGTATGGAGTACTCCTTCAATCAAGGAGTATGGAGTACTCCTTTAATTAAGGAGTATGGAGTACTGCTTTAATGAAGGAGTATGAGTACTCCTTTAATTAAGGAGTATGGAGTGCTTCTTTAATCAAGGAGTATGGAGTACTCCTTCAATCAATGAGTATGGAGTACTCCTTTAATTAAGGAGTATGGAGTACTGCTTTAATGAAGGAGTATGAAGTACTTCTTTAATCAAGGAGTATGGAGTACTTCTAAAGGGAAATCCATAAGATATTGGATTAAATACAGAACAATATTTGAATCCTGAGAACTTACCTGATTACTTCTATTTGTTTACGAAATGTTATTTTAATCAAGTAGTTTCAAAAAACTTTTTTGTAGATTTCAAAAAGCAATTTGTCAAAAGTATTTGAGCCTTTGTCACAAACTATGATTTTCTAATATCTATATCTTTGCAACCAAATCCCGTAGACCTTAGATATTTCAAACTATGAATTCTGTTAGATGAAAGAATCTAAGGTTTACACCATCAGGTGGAAAAAATATAGGCATTAGAAAATCAGAGGTTGTTACAAAGACTCAATTCCTTATTCCTAAAATATTTAGTATTTACCTAAAGATGTTTGTGAAGAACTAGTGCTGCTATTTGTCTCTTTTTCAACCGAATTCTTCCGCCTATACCTGGTTCTAAACTCAATGCTATGGTTTTCGCAACAAAGTCTAATTTTAAATCCCTATATCTTAGTAACCAGATGTTGTAAACCTTTTATATTTCAAACTATGAATACTGTTTGAGCCGATAGTCTAAGTTTAAAATATCAAAGGTTTACACCATCAGGTTGAAAAGATATAGTGATTAGAATATTTGTTTGTTTGTTGCAAAAACTCAGTTCCTTTAAAAATTCATAACAGGGACTTTATATTTAAAGGAACGTGCACGATTTACAAAGGTACCTTTAAAACATTCGGCTCAGCTAAAATGATGAGAAAATCCTTGTTTTTCTCAGTAAAACCGGTTTGAATATGGTATGCAACTAATTGAAATTACGTTAACACTCCCTTTAAAAATTTCTTTTCTATTAAAGTATTTGAAATATTTTCATTGATCCATGGTAGGTCCTAGGACTTCTAATTTGAAGTGGAGTGCTGTTTTCAAATTGGGAATTCATATTTTATTAAAACAGTTTCAAATGTCCTCTTACCGATAAATGTGAAAAAGCTAAATATAGAATATAGTAGTTGATCAGTCAACATATAGAAAAGAACATTGGTCTGGATATTTGTTTTCAAATAAAGGTTAAACAATGTAAATATATGAAATACCTAGTTTTGGTTGAAGCTAGTGCCTGAATGGGAGAGGTTCCTCTAGTTTCATCCATAGATAAACTTTAACAAGAATATTCATACTTTTCGATTTCAATTTTAATTTAAATTCAGTGAATTGTCTACTTTAATTGTTAGTAGATGTTTTTTAACCAATAATACTTTTCAATTTGTTTTGTGTAAAATGTTTTGTATTATAATAGATCGAATAAGACCCCCCCCCCCCCTTTGAGATAATATTTCCCTCTTTCTATAAGTGATTTTTGACAAAAATTGTTTTTCTTTGAATTATATCACATATCTAAAATTAACCATGAAAGATGTTAACAAGGAAATAATTACTTCTATTTTTGTTTTGTATAAAAAGACTGTTATAATGATAGATGCATTAATAAAATTATAGTAAAATCTACAAGGTGAAGGGAAAGGATCAAAATTAAAGCCCTCATTATGTATAATTTTCTCCTTTAAAACTTGATTATTCGTTTATTTGTTTTAAAGTAAAATGAGACAAGACTTAAAATTTGAGCATAAAAAAATATCTTTTAAAAATTATGGAGTTATGCCTGGAGTGGGTTGTTTTAGGGGATTTAGTTTCAGCGGAGGAGAAACTTAGCCTCCGAGGATCCTGGTGCAAACTTCCCAGCCTCCGAGCCTGTACAGGAGAGGACAAGGCCCTCATAACCTCATGCTTCCTCATATCCCCTAGCCTGGGACTATATAGCTGCTGTTCTATGGTAGATTGTCGAGATAAAATATGTGAGTCTAGTTCTCTAGTTTCTATACTCGTACCACATGTACCACTTAACCTCCTCATATCTATAGTGTTTGGAATTATATTAACCGGCTCCAAGGAGTTGAAACTTAGCCGTCTATCATCAGGGTTGGGTCCAAGAAGATGTGTGCTGATATTAGAAGACGATTTACGTCTGAAAAAAAAATATATTTTTTACTTTTCATTCTTCTTCTTTTTTAAAAAGAAACTGGGGCCTGATTTAATGAAAAAGAGAATACTCATTTGAATCATAAAATCATTGAACTATTTTCCTGATTTTCATCAAATTTCATTAAATTTCTTCAAATTTATTAAGTTTAATCTAAAGCTGTGTGCTTTAATTATTTTTTAACCCAGCTTCAGATTTTTTAATAACCACATATTTGGAAATATGTTGTTATTAGAAAACCGATCGGGCCCAAATTTTTTGTGGGACATCACGTGACCACAGGGATGGTTTATGAATGATAAAAAAAATGTGTTTTAAAGGTTTTTAATTTTGTAAAAAAATTTAAATTCTTAAAAATCCGCTATTTTTTTTTTAAAAATCCGCAAAAATTTTTTCTTCTTTGTTTTTAAATGTAAACAAAAAGAACATGTTCACAATTTTAATAGAAGAAGCGCCCTTAAAGCCTAGTATAATTAAATTCCAAATAAAGCAAAGATATAATTAAACTAGAAAACTTCAAATTTTAAGTCTTCCAATTCTAGAATTTAAACATGCAGTTCAACGTGTAATGTGTCAATTTTGATTTTCATAGATTCAATTCTGCCAACATTTAAAACGTTTAAAAATTCGTTGTAATTCCAAATCTGAAATAATTGAAAAATAAATATGCTTATCTACATGTTATGAAATATGAAGACGGTTTCTTTAATCTTTATACAGGGATGCCCCTTAAACCCTTAACCCTATAAAGCCTGGGGGGTCTGAATCTATGTATGACAGGGGGGGGGGGCGTCAGAAAAGACCTAAGAGAATAGGTATAGGGTTAAAAGGCATGTTCATAGCCTTATTTTTCAAGGCCAGCTCATTTAAACCAAAATTAGATCGATAAATTTGGTAGTTTAGGTGCTAGTTAGGGTTGAAAAAAATACCAAAAAAGGTCAAAAAAAGTTTTAAAATCTATTTTTTTTAACAAAAATAAAAGTGTGACACATTCTACGTCCATTTTCAAGGGCTTTTCAAACATATAGTTTTAGATCTGTACCTTTAAGTCATAAAAAAGTTATGGGATATTTTAGATATTTTTACACTTTTTACCCTATGCTTAAAAAAAATTACAAAAAATCCTTAAATTTCTATTTATTAAAAGTAAAAAATTTCACGATGATAGTGTAAAAAATGAGAGTGCTGGAGCAAAAAAAAAATATGGGGTGGGCTAAACCCTCCCCCCCCATAGTTTAGGGTTAACGCGGAAAGTTTCCCCCGGAAAATGCTCTCGGCTACACGTTTTACACGTGTAACTTAAATCAAATAATTTACGTAAACAATATAGTATAAAACTAAACTTTAAATCTAAATATATATATCCAACATGAAATGTTTTTGGACCAAGTATCTCAGTAAAGTTCTAAATTTAGAAAATGTTAAAATCTAAAATCAATACCTTGTCGTATCTAAAGATTGACGTGTTGGAGTAGGAGACAGCCAATTGTTGCTCTAAAATAAAACAATTAAAATACACCGGAGCTGAGCCCAAAACTTCAGACAGGGTATCATTTTGAAACTCAGTATTGGAAACCAGGTTTCACGAATGGGTACGTGTAGATATCTCAAAAAAATTTGAAAAAAAAACTATTTTATATTGTTATCTATATATTTAATTTTTATATTTTTTTTTCTTAAAGTAAATCTTCAAAAATGTTAAGACCCCAAAAAGGAAACTCGGGAGTTTCGTTGAACGATACTCTTTTAAATTTCTGGCTCTGGATCCTCCCAATCTTTGTTTACAAACAAAGTGAACTGCAGTCTGAGCTCGTACACATTTCTCCCAGTACGATTTATTTGTGATAAAAATATGGGGTTTTCTATTATAGCTTCCTTGGAAAATATACAAGGTTACCCACAAAGGATGAGACATCAGACACGATTGTATGAAATGTACACTGTCTGTTTCCTTATATTCATAACTCCCTACAACTCTAAACAGGTTTTACTTCTTACCAAATCATTAAATAAGCCCTTACAAGACCATATTAAAGGCATAAGATTTAATTCAACCTAAGAATCGTAATTTTTCGAGGGCTTCAGATCGTCTTTACAGTATTATCCTTTGTGGGTAACCCTGTCCTTAAAAATAGACGTATAATTGTACACTTTTACAATTTTAAGGAGCAGTGTCTTTTTTTAAATTTTTTGCTGTGGGAAAAAGACATTTGTTCCTCATTATCGACAAGGAATATTAATAAGCAGAGATAGGAACTCCTATCACGAGATATATTATTTTTAATAGAAGTCACGATTAAAACTATGAATTACAACGACGCCTGTAGACTAAAAAACGATATTAACCCTATCCCTGCTGGGGTACTTGAAAACCAGGATACGCTGGGGGTCAACGGAGTGTTCGCGAAAAATGAAATCATTCAGTTATATTATATAGCTGACTATTTAGATATTACTATACATAATTCCGAATGTTACTGTGGTCATTCAAATATAATTAACATATATATTTTAATATTTGTATTTTATACAATTTTCGAGTGTATCATTCCAATATAATTAAGATATATATATTACAATATTTGTATTTTATACAATTTTCGAGTGTATCATTCCAATTTTAAGAATTTTTCATTTTGAATCAAAATTTTGACTAATCCTATCCTTTACCCCCATTCATGTTTCGCGAATACTCCCTTTAACATTTTAGATGAGTTTTAAGATAATTGTAAAACTAACATATCCCTTATAACAACCATCGTTCAGAATCAAAATAGTTTTCTAATAATATTTTAAATGACAAATAAGAAGAATGAACGATTTCCAATCAAATCAGATTTCATGAGAGCAAAAAATCAAAAAAAGGTTTATCCAGCAAGCTCAATTTGTTTTTCTACGACTAGTATGTTTTTCCAGAAATTTACATTTTTCAGAATTTCCGTTTCTAAATCATTGGAGTTAAATGAAAACAAAGTTTATCAAAACTTCAGGATATTTGTAATAATAATAAATACTGCTATATTTTTTACATCTTTAAGCGGTCAAAAAGAATTTATTAAATGACAAATATGAAATTAAAAAAAAACTTGAATCCATGTTTAAAATAGCTAGCTACATATATGTTTTTCAATAGAGATATAGAGTCTACAACTTCAGTACTCATATCATGAAAGGTTGTATTTTTAGACTAACATTTTAGCTAACCGTGTATTCAAACTAACATTTCATTTAACTCTGTATTCAAACTAATTATTCTAGCTAACCCTGTATTCAAACTAATTATTCTAGCTAACTCTGTATTCAAACTAGCTAACCCTGTATTAAAACTAATTATTTCAGCTAACCCTGTATTCAAACTAGCTAACCCTGTATTCAACCTAATTATTCTAGCTAACTCTGTATTCAAACTAGCTAACCCTGTATTCAAACTAATTATTTTAGCTAACCCTGTAATCAAACTAATTATTCTAGCCAACCCTGTATTCAAACTAATTATTCTAGCTAACACTGTATTCAAACTAATTATTTTAGCTAACCCTGTATACAAACTAATTATTCTAGCTAAGTATGTATTCAAACTAATTATTTCAGCTTACCCTGTATTCAAACTAATTATTCTAGCTAACCCTGTATTCAAACTAATTATTCTAGCTAACCATGTATTCAAAGTAATTATTTTAGCTAACCCTGTATTCAAACTAATTATTCTAGCTAACCCTGTATTCAAACTAATTATTCTAGCTAATCCTGTATTCAAACTAATTATTTTAGCTAACACTGTATTCAAACTAATTAGCTAACCATGTATTCAAAGTAATTATTTTAGCTAACCCTGTATTCAAACTAATTATTCTAGCTAACCCTGTATTCAAACTAATTATTCTAGCTAATCCTGTATTCAAACTAATTATTTTAGCTAACACTGTATTCAAACTAATTATTTCAGCTAACCCTGTATTCAAACTAATTATTTTAGCTAACCCTGTATTCAAACTAATTATTTTAGCTAACCATGTATTCAAACTAATTATTTTAGCTAACCATGTATTCAAACTAATTATTTTAGCTAACCCTGTATTCAAACTAATTATTGTAGCTAACCCTGTATTCAAACTAATTGTTTACTGAAGGAGAAATGTTTCTGAACCTCATTCTATCAATTTAAAAAGAGAGGTATCGATAAACTTAAACTAAATAAATTACAAAAATTCTAAAAGTAAAAAAAAATATACTTACCGGTAAACGAGAGCATTGGCTTGGAGAAACTAGAATATAATTTGGAGCAAAGGGAAAATGATTAGAAATAGGAACAGAGTAGGGAGTAGGAACGGGAATAGTGCTTAGAACGTGAGTAGGGCTGGGAATAGTATTGGGACTAGGAACGGTTAGGGAGTTGAAATTATGATGCCGGACATTGTTCTTTAATTTCTGATCCTGCCTGAAATTAGAGAATACGTTTTTAAGGGTTTCATGATTTGAATGACAAAGAAAATAATCACTTTCAGCAAACTAACTCTGATTTTCTATTCCTTATATCTTTCCAATCCCTAAGTCGTAGACCTTTAATCTTTGAAACTATGAAGTTTGCTAAATTAAATAGATAAAGTTTAAATTATATTTCAAGTGTTCAAATCCTTTTTAGCATCGATAAGTGTTGTTCATCGTGGTGCAAAAAAAACGTTTTCAGAATAATTAATTCTAAACACAAAGTTTTCTTAAAAGTATTTGCAAAAAACAAACAAAAAGCTAACGTGTTAAAAAGATCTTTTTTGTTTCTTTTTGCAATTTTTTTTGGATAAAATAAGTTTAACCAAGTACCAGTTTTATCAAAAGTGAGAAAAAAAAACTATTAACACCACTAGTTTTCAAATTTTGATAGATTGAATTTACAAGAAGGAATTTTTCTCCATAACGAAAATTGAACAAAATTTCTAAACGAGTTCAAGAATTTTACGAATGGGATTGTAAAATTCACATTAGTTTCATGTAATTTTACCTTGAAGTTGAACTTGAAGAGGAACGTTGTGAACTATTCTTGTGATTTGCATCCATGGACCAAGAAATACTCTTTCTTCTGTTAAAATATATGTATTCTGCTTGAAACAAAAACTCAAATAATCAGATTAAAATCTATCCTGAGGAACTTTTTGTTTCAAGAAATTGAAATTTTACTTTACATTGTTAACTTTCTTTTCTAGACTACCTTCTCCCCTTCCTTTCTAGACTACCTTCTCCCCTTCCTTTCTAGACTACCTTCTCCCTTCCTTTCTAGACTACCTTCTCCCCTTCCTTTCTAGACGACCTTCTCACCTTCCTTTCTAGACTACCTTCTCCTATTCCTTTCTAGACAACCTTCTTCCCTTATTTTCTAGACTACCTTCTTCCCTTCCTTTCTAGACTATCTACTCCCCTTCCTTTCTAGACTACCTCCTCCCTTCCTTTCTAGACTACCTTCTCCTCTTCCTCTCTAGATTACCTTCTCCCCTTCCTTTCTAGACTACCTTCTCCCCTTCCTTTCTAGACTACCTTCTCCCCTTTCTTTCTAGACTACCTTATCCCCTTCCTTTCTAGACTACCTTATCCCCTTCCTTTCTAGACTACCTTCTCCCCTTCCTTTCTAGACTACCTTATCCCCTTCCTTTCTAGACTACCTTCTCCCCTTCCTTTCTAGACTACCTTCTCCCCTTCCTTTCTAGACTACCTTTCCCCTTCCTTTCTAGACTATCTTCTCCCCTTCCTTTCTAGACTACCTTCTCCCCTTCCTTTCTAGACTACCTTCTTCCCCTCCTTTCTAGACTACCTCCTTTCTTCCTTTCTAGACTACCTTCTCCTCTTCCTCTCTAGACTACCTTCTCCCCTTCCTTTCTAGACTACCTTCTCCCCTTCCTTTCTAGACTACCTTCTGCCCTTCCATTCTAGACTTCCTTTTCCCCTTTCTTTCTAGACTAACTTCTCCCTTTCCTTTTTAGACCTCCCCTTCCTTTCTAGACTACCTTCTCCCCTTCCTTTTTAGACTACCTTCTCCCCTTTCTTTCTAGACTACCTTCTCCCCTTTCTGTCTAGACTACCTTCTCCCCTTCCTTTCTAGACTACCTTCTCCTCTTTGTTTCTATAACATTTCCAATAAGTTATCCTATTTTCATCCTTTCCGTCACTTCACAGTCAACAGCGTTATAATTTTCTTTCCTTTCTATCCTTCTCTTCATTTCCTTTCTATCCCTGTACGCCCTCCCCATACCTTTATCCATGTCGTTCTGATTTCTGTTTGACTCCTCTCTCCCCATTCCTTTCTCATCTTTCTC